AAAGGACAACTGCAATGCATCTTCATGATTCAATAAGAGTTACCTCATCTGTTTTTTCCAAAACAAAGGAAATAGCATAGTCTTTTTGAATTGTCTCGTTAAATATATCATCCCACTATTACAGTGTTGTAGGAGCAAAATAACATAATTCCTGAATATGAAGCATGTTTTTTTTTTTAATCCTCATGCCTTCTTACTTTCATTAGTAGCTTCTGCATCAGATACAACCATATACCTTTAGCTATTCCAATCATGAATCATCCTGCAATGTTTTGACAATGCAAACTAAATTCTACTTATGCTTAAATGACCATTTTGATTCTTTTTATTTATTATTGGATCTCACAGCATTTGCCTATTGACAACCATCTTGTGTCTCGCTTATTTTTCCCTCACTAACCACCCTTCTCCTTCTTCAACACTGGTTTTGCATATTTTTACAATATGCTAAAATGCCAGTATCAGATAGTATGTAATGCAACTATATAAAGTGCTCAATTAGGTATCAAAGATCTCCAACTAATGTTTTCTGTTCCGTTGTGACTTTTTATTTTAGTCAGTCAACTCTGTACAGCATGCATAGAAGTTTAGTAGTTTTGAATATACTATGTATTAGCAGTTAGATCAGTAGTCTTATGTAGTAAAGGTATAAAGCAAGAGAAAAAACCCTACTAGGCAAATTTTAAGCATATACTGTCTGTATTCAAACCTCTTTGTTACAGGAAAGTAAGTAGCAATTTTAATCTACAAAAGTGATGATTTTTAAAAAATAAATAAAAATGTTCAGCAGAATATATATAAAAATAAAATGTAGTTATTCCTGTTCCTCTGGGGTTGTATTATACAGTGAAGCAAGCAACACTTCCAAGCTATGTATGTAAATCTTGCTGGATATCTACAATCACGAAGGATATAACACTACTATACCAGTACAGACACTGTCTACCCTGTAACAGCTTATGTACTGCTGGAGTTTCCTATTAAAAAAAACCAAAAACAAAAAAAAAAACACCCTTTGATTAATTTTACCTACTTAGTAACAAGCTGTCTACTGGCACTGTTCACATATTTTATTTACTAAGTGACAGCACTGCTTTCCAGTGTTTTAATTTCCTGGCAACAGCAGCTGGAATGATGAACAAAAAAAAACCGATTTCATCCAACAGCTCAAGGCGAAAGAGAAGGTAATCCAAAATGAAAACTGCAGACAAAGGGACCACACTGCTTATAAGTGCTGATAAAAGGGTGTAAAGTAATGCTTCAAAGAATGATACAGGACTCCAAAATAACCAGAGACAGTTCAGGAACTACAATTTAAGGTAAGCTGATGTATAAAGGTGGGACTCAAGGACAACTTAATCAGAGTCAATTATGATAAAACAATGGGGGAGTTAAAATCACAGAAGATTAGACTCAGCAACATTAGGCCTAGCTTTACCTACATAAAGCATATAGATGCAGGTTCTAAGGTAGAACACTGGGATCGTTTCCAAAGTCAAATCAAGACAAGTGAGAGCTTTAGACTTCATTTAACACTCACAGTTATGCAAATTTGTAAATACTTTGCAAACCTTCCTATGTTTTACTTCAATGAGAAGCACATGTCAGCTATAGAAAGCAATAACATTAGATCACTTCAGCGTTCAATTTGACATTGTATATACATCAATTAATATTTGTTTTATAGAATCAGAAAAATTTAGATGAAAGCTTCCAAAAACAGACATATATTTTCACATACAACCTTGGAGTGAAAATAATTGCAATATTTAAAGCTTCAGATTCTGAAAAGAGTAGCCCATTATGAAAGCACTTGAAAAAGTTACAAAATAGTTTTAGACACCCGTTACCAAAAACATAGTTTGCCTAATTCAAAATAATTCATGCAGATATCAATAGCTTGTGGGGTCTCTTCTGCAGACATTCAAAACCCACCCAGACGAGTTCCGATGTGACTTGATCTAGGTGTTCCTGCTCAGGCAGGGGAATTGGACTAGATGAGGTCCCTTTTGAGGTCCCTTCCAATCCTCGACATTCTGTGATTCTGTGGCTTCTAGAAATACATAATTTATTATAACATCTTCAATAATTAATAATTAATAATAATAATTAATTTTATGTAACACATAAAAAAGTAGGAAAATTAAGAACTGGTATTTTATTTCTCACATACTTTACATCAGTACATTCACTTGTCTCATTAAGAACATTCACTGTATACTGGATAGGCAGAAAATATCTAAAAAGAAAATATCACGTGTATCCCTTTTTTCATTCCTTCAAATTACTCAAAATTTATTAAAGCATAAAGAATAGAATTTTATAGGATTACAGAATCACAGTATATATAGCTCAGATTGGAAAAGACCTTAAAGATCATCAAGTCCAACTGCAACCACAACCTAACCACAACAATCAACCTAACTCTAACAACCCTCTGCTAAATCACATCCCTGAGCAAGACAACCAAACGGTTTTTAAACACATCCAGGGATGGTGACTCAACCACCTCCCTGGGGAGCCTATTCCAGTGCTTCACAAGCATTTCTATAAAGAAGTTTTTCCTGATATCCAAACTTACCCTGGTGCAACTTGAGGCCACTTCCCCTTGTCCTGTTATCTGTCATCAGTGAGAAAAGACCAACCCCACTCTTACTACAATCATCTTTTAGGTATTTGAAGAGAGCCACAAGGCCTCCCCTCAGACTCCTCTTGGTGGAAGTCAGTAAGACCTCCCCATGTTGGGGAAGTCAAAGCCGTCTACTGACTGCCTTTTGCCTTGTATGGATCATTATAGAACAAACATATTCACTGAAAAATATCTTAAAGTTGTGATAGAACTTAGTCACACATAACTCTAAACATGACAAAAAGTATTTAGAGGCTGAAATGCACAAGTTTTCCAAAAGGAGGTTAATGTTGTGAAAATCATCAGGGTGGCATTCCTTTTATGTCTCTGCACTGGAAGACACTGAAGAGTATTTTCAGTTTGACTTTACACACAATTATGGCTTTCATTCTAGCTGAAAGATTACCAGAATAAAACACGTTCTTTCTATGTAACTTTGTAAATGAAAGAAATTACATTCTCAATGGAATGTAAGAGTAACAAGGGGAGCAAAAACATGTAACAATAAATACTTCAGCAGTGTATGATGTCCCATTTTTTACAGATAAAAATAAATTCTATCAGCATGCAAAAACTCTTCCATCCAGAAAATGACTAAGTATTTATCTGGTGCTGTACTTTAAACAGGCAGATTTAATAACAGCAAGGAGTGGGTTTATACCTTGAGTGCCTCAATGTTGGCAAACTTAGGTTGAAAACTATGAATTCTTAGCACTTTACTTTCCCAGCTTGAGGCATAGTTCACAATTTAGAACATTTTTAATGCTTCTTAAATGTATAAACCCTAGGACTCTGGAGCACTCAACATGATTCAGAATCTTCCTCCCCTCCCTGTTTGATATGCTACTGAAATGTAATTTCTAAATACAGACAGGATAGTATCTGTGGAAAAAAAAAATGTATTTAGATCCCAGAATATAATGCAGTGCTAACCTATCTGTCCTTTAAATACCTGTACACAATAAGTTCACTCAAAACTGATCTACAATTCTTACACATTCATATCACCAAAGCTTGAATATTCACACTGCTTGTGTAGACAGCCCTGCTCTGCTGAGTTCTGCACAAAATTACACTAATAAATAAATAAATAAAGTTTCCTGAAGCTTCTAGATAAGAATTAAATTAATTGCTTCTGGATAAAACAGCACACCCTCAGCCTATTTGAGATTCCAGTAGCTACCCAGAAAATGAAACTGAAACAACTCATCTTAATCAGTGCCTTGCACACTGCATTGAGCCTGCAAATAGCACAAACTGAAAGAAACCAAAGATCACTTGTAACTGCTCCTGCTAATAGGAGCAAAACTATTTTTGTTTTAAACAATGATATACTAATGACATTGACCACATTATAATAAGGTGAAGTATGGATAAAGTATTATTTATTGGAAACAGGGTAATTCTGTTAGTCCTTTCAACACGAGAAGGAAGGAAAAAACAGGCATTTCTTGGAAACAGAACTCGCTGGACTTCACAGCAGTCCTTCTAGAAACTACAACAATCTGAGTTGTAATTTACTTTCCCAGTACGTACTTGAGGCACATGCATCAACATAACACTTATTAAGAATTAATCCACATCCAAAGGTGCTTCTTCTACTGTAACACATAGCAACTACTCCCAAACCATTCCATGATTCTACAGGAAGCACACAGTACGACGTCCCCATTCAGCAAGAAGCTAAAGCAAACACAAAGGCTATGCTGACTACCCAAACCCCCCAAGACCCAATTCAAATGCAGCATAGAGCTGACATTTCAGGATCCTCGGATCCTGATAAAGTCCTTCTAATAGAAAATTTGCGAGGGGTTTCCAGACTTTTGCAGGAAACAGCAACTTCTTGAAATAGCTAGGGCCCAAAGGATGCTCATGGACCTCGTAGCACTTTCCAGATTGGGAAGTCTCACAGCCCACGGCTTCTTCCCATAGCTGTAAACGCGCTCTCTGCACTCAACGCAGAACCCCCAGGCTAATCTCTCAACCACTCTCCCAAACCGCCACGCTGAAATTAAGGGCAAGCACCCCTTGCTCTCTAAAGCTTTAAAATCAGGCAGAATGTAGCCACAAGTAGCAGAGAATGGCGGGAAGGAGGAGAAAAACACCGTTTCCTGTCGCTTTAATCCCTTCAATCAGGCTGCCCGGAGCGTGCTGGCCGCCTGCTCGCCGAAGAGGAGGCTGGCAATGAGCTACTACCGAGGACAGCCCGACCGCTCGGCCCTGCTTCCCACAGCCCGGGAGGCGTCTGGGCTGAGGGGCGGCGCGTTTTGGGCTGCCCACCACCGCCTTCAGCCCTTTGCAGAGCCTTGTAGCGGGGCTCCGGGAAGCTGCAGGGGAGGGAGGGGGAGACGGGGGGACGAAGGCTACACACCCAGCAGCAGGCCGTCCATGTCAAAGATGAGGTGAGTGACCGGCCGCAGCGCGGCCGTGGAGGAGCAGGAGGAAGCCGACATGGCGAGCCGAGCCCCGTGTAGCGGCGGCGCAAGCGCGGCAGCCGGAGCGGATGGGGAGCAGGGAGCGGTACTGCCGCGGGGGAAGGCGGGCGGAGCGGGGCAGGGCGGGTTTGCCGGGCTGTTGCGTGCGGTGCTGTCCTGCGTAGCTCGAATAGCCGCCAGGCGCCCGCGGGCACAGCCGCTGGGTGGAGTGCGGTGGAGCGGGAGGCGCAGGGCAGGCGCCGCGGGGCGGACTGCGGGCAGCGGCACCGAGGGACCGCTTAAAGAAACTTTTTTCCTTTTTTTTTTTTTTTTTTTTTTTTTTTTAAACAAGGAAAGTTCTATTTTCTGCTTGTCTTTTTCTTCTTTAGAAGTTTTGTTCGTTTGTTAATCCCTTTGGATGCTGCTCTCTGGGAGGACTGGGGAGTTGCTCCTGTTTTGATAGTGCAGACAGCATTTTCTCACAAAGTTGTGCTGTGCCCACGTAGAGATTCACAGGGGTGCAACTACTGCTGGATTGTAACTAGAGCTGTAAATAGAGTCTCAAATCTACGTAAAACCGTGGTTTAGAGAAGAAGAAAGCAGCGGTGTATAAAAATCAATTACGTTCTTCTTAACGGCTGTTGAGTGTGACTCCAGTTCCTTTTCATTTTTTTCTTTTCATTCTGAAGTTCGAGAAACAAGCCAGTGTGCCTGAGAATAAGGAAATCCTTCCAACATACACCACCAACTGGTTGTCTCTGAGTAGTTGTGAGCAGAAGTTGCAACTTTCCTTCACCAGCATTTCCACCTTCATTTTTTCCATACAGATAAACTCCGTTGTGGTCATCAGGGTCACTGGTTACAGGTCAAAACCCCATCAGCAGAAGCAGACACAATGTGGCAGTCTCATGCACCTAAGGTGCCACATTGACGTGAAGATTAATGCTGCTTTTTTGTTTTCTGCTAAAGCAGTGTTGGAGGAAAGTGCTCTCTCATTGTGTAGGTAGGCCTCCCAGCACTTTGGTTGTCCCTGACAGTTCTTTCATTTGGATAGGCAGTATTTCAGCTTTTTACTAAACTGGTTTTGCTTTTTAAGCTGTAATTGTAGATGTCATATGATTGTATTTGAATTTTAGTTTAGAATTCTTCTGTGCCTTACCTACTTACGTAGGTTGTGGATGCCCAATCCCTGGATGGGTTCAGAGCCAGGCTGGATGTGGCTCTGGGCAGCCTGGTGTAGTGGTTGGCAACCCTGCACATAGCAGGGGCGTGAAACTAGATGATCTTTGAGGTCCTTTTGAACTCAGGCCATTCTGTGATTCTATGATACCTACTCCAACATCTCTTCCTTAAACAGACCCTTACCCAACGTTTGTGAGAAACATCCCAGACACAGATTCATACCACTTTTCTTGGAAGTGAGAGAAGAGATAAAATGTCTATGGCCTTTTATTATTAAAAAGATTAAAATAAATTTATCTTCCAAACAAAGTTGTTTTTTTGTCATTTTTATTTAGTTGGTTTTTTTAATGTCTCATTATCTAATATTTATATTAGCGCTTAGCTTGCCTATGTAATCTAAGAAAAAGGCTATGCCCTAAGCGTATTTTAAAAAAATTATTTGCATAGTCATGATGTACATCTACTAGTTCTTGTGTTAAGAAAATTGATCCTGTACTTTTTCATCTGTAGCCCTACAATGTGGTTAAGAACAATGCCTACAACTATTTCACTTCTCCAATAAATAATGTGCATCTACTCAATGTTCAAACACTTTTTCAGGTTGCAGTTGTCTTTGATCACAGTTAAATGAACTTCTGAATAAACTAACATAACTGCTCTTTTTATGTTCAAAAAAAAGTTAATCTGTTAGAAGAAAAAGTCATTTCAATACTTGTAATCCTAGTATTCTCTTTAAAAGAGTGGATTTCTGCTGTAGGAGTGTTAGCTATTGTGGCAAAAGTTTCTAGAGGGTGAATAATGAGATTGTACAGCAGTTGTACCTGAGATGGATTCATTTGGTTTCTAACTGTAAAATGTAAAAAAATAAAATGAATTCTTCTTTATTTGTATTTGTTGGCATAGTAGCACCTGTACTTCTTAACAAGAAAAAAGCCACATCAGTCTCATGTTCTGTAACTATTTTAGAGAGAAGCATAATCATTTTGATCGCAACTTCAACTCTCCCTCAAAAAAAGGGAAAATATTTACTGCATAATAAAACTCCAATTCATGTCTTTTGACTGTTTAAAGTGCAAAGTCATTCTGTTTGGGAAAATGTATGCTACTCAAGAAGAGCCCTTATAGGATTAAGCGGTGTATGCTTAAAATGTCTATTGTTGACATTTTAAGACAGTCAAGTTCACTGACATACTGATGACCTCAATTTACTTTGTTATTTTGGCTCATCGGTGGTAATCAACATAATGTTAGCTTACTGTTTAGATTTATTCAGCATGACCTGGTCTTTTCAGTAACAGAATGAAATGAGAAGAAAGTCCAAGCACAACTTGTAGTTCATAGTGGATCATTATTTTCTAGATAAACACATAAACAAAGAAGTTTATCTAAGATTTATTTCAGCTGTCTTGAATATTCTTCTCAAACACCATAGTAGTAGTATTTTGTGATAGTCGCCCAAATGCTACTTAGCATTAGTATTTTGTTGGTATTTGTTTTTGAAGAAGTGAAAAATTGAGAATTATGCAGTTGACTTTAATTTGCTATTTTTTTATTTTAGGCATTTTTCATGTGAAAGGAAAAATAAAAGTAGCTGTTGAGCTGTGGAAAGCATAGTGTGGTGGAAGCATAATAGCAATGAAAACTAATAATTATATGCATGTTAACCTTATTATTAAGTGTGAACTTGTGTTACTGAGAAATAATTGTGCAAGTAGGCTTTAATCCTGCAGTCCGAAGAACATAGTTTTTTGTGTGTTTTTAATGCATTTAACTTTCTGTTTAGGCTCATACAACACATGCCAAAGCAGATGACTGAGTTTTTTTGCCAAGGTATACCTCTTATGGCATAATAGGGTACAAATACATGTCCAGTTTTTTAAAAGACTATAGTTAGATATATAATATCTATAAGATATAGATATTGTATATCTTATAGATATATCAGATATAGATGTAAAAGACTATAATTAGTAATCTTTCTTATCCCAAACACATCTTTTTTCTTTGAATTTGTTTTTATGATAAAATTACTTTGGTTTTATTGTTCTTTATGTGAGATAATGTGAAAATACCCAGTTGCCTGTCCATGCAGTTCTTAAGTATACAGTACATTCTTATACACAATCCATATATGTCCAGCTCAGTGATTTTGCTAATGTTGTCCTCTTTTTTGTGTGTGTGTTTAAAAAGAAGTTTTGTTACTTATAAACTTTGACTATATTATGTATTTTATGTTTGGCCCAAGACAATTCTTCTTCACGCAGTGTGGACCAGGCAAGCCAAATGATTGGACACGTACATTGTACACAGGCCACATAATGTTTTTTAGTCTTCTTGTGTTTGGTTTTGAAGCTAAAAAGTTTTCCCAATCATGGAAACTTATTTAAGAAGTTGTTTTCCTGGCTAATAAAAGTTTCAGAATATGCCCAAGTGTTATCTTGGGTAATAGACTTGAATCAAAATTGCAGTTTCCTATTTCATTACTTTACACTGTTCTTAAAACATGGATTCACTTACAGTAAATGTGTAACATTGACAGGAGCATGATACACTGTGTGTTTCATATTGAAAAGGCTGACATATTTTTCTTGTTCTGCAGGTGCCATTGCAAAGAGGATAAACAGATTATAATCCATTTTGGTTTGAATATTAAAAAAAAGATTCTAAAGACTTGAATAAATCCTTTGAATGAGATGAATGAATTACTTGAGTAATTTAAAAGCTTTCATGATGATTTACGTGAACAGATTTTAAACCCCCTATTAGTAAGAAATTACTTGGAATGACACAGAGCTAAATGTAATTTAACTCAGGTGTCAACTGAGATTCACAACAGTTGCTATAGTTGAGCCTATAAGCCTTGAGAAGAGGAAACTCCTCCCTGTGATGAATGTCATCAAAGAAAAAAATTTTGCCTTAAGAATGTGAATTAAATTATATGGTTTCTGCTCGTGTTTTTATGGTTGAAAAAAGGAAATCGAGCATATAGCTTAAGTCAATGAAGCATCACTGTATTTCTGCTGTTCTACAATATTTTTTATTGATTATAAACATATATATATATATATATATCAATATATAATATATTGATATATTATATATATATATAATATATATAATAATATATAATCAAAAGGAGGATATA